GGTAGGTGTGAGTATGGTTAGTAGGGAATGGGAGAGTTGTGGGGTGGAAGAGGATAAGGAGGAGTTGAGATGATAGGTAAAGTGGAGTAGCATTGAAAGGTAATATGGATTGTATAAGAGTAAAGTTGTGTGGATGAAAAGGGGAATTTTTTTTTGGGGGGGGGGGGGGGGGTGACCGAACGAACCTGTAGTGCGGGACCCCCCTCAGCCGAGGCGAGGTGAAGCAGGGCGTCCAGCCCCGGATGGGCGGGAGAGGTAGCGACGAGCCCTAGCGCACGGTTCAGCGACGACCGCTGCTGCGGGCGCCCCTTCAGCGGCAGCAGACAGCGCAGGGCGTCCTCCATTTCCTCCCTCATTTGGGCCCTGACCGGGGGCCCGTGGCCTCCGGGGGTTTCCCGTCCGACCGCGGGGGTGGGGGTCATCCCCTCAGGAATTCCCTGTTCTTCGCCCCCACGAAAGGTAGGGGGGGGGGGGGGGTGAGGATGGTCCGTGGTTCCAACAACCTTAGTCTAGCTGTTTGGGGTGTCGGTGCGTGTGCCTGGCTACCACGCGCTCGCGAGCGTCTCGCACAGAAGGAATGACTCAAGTTGATACCAAGAATAGCGAGTGAGGGACATAGGTGAAGCAAGGATCGAGCCTCGCGCGTCATACCCATCACATCCGAAACATCCACGTAGCCCCCGAAGGTCAGAGATAATATTGCCGAAAATCCCCAAACGCTTGCATCCCTTACACTGTCTATACGGTCCACGACAACTCTCCCCCCAGCCGCGAAGCCACCTTCCCGCTTTTCAAGGGACAAAACCGCTAGGCCCCTGTACCCTGCACACCGACTACTCCCACCCCCAACCATCCACCCACCTGCAGCAGGCACCCGAGGTCTTCGCTCTCCAGGACCAGCGGCACGCACGCCTCGTGCGCGGCGAGCCCGGCGAGCACCCGCAGGCCGGCGCAGACCTCCTCCCGCCGCGGAGCTTCAACCTCGGTCGTGACACCAGCCGCCACCGCATGCGGCGGCGGCGAGGCGCCGCCCCCTCACGC